TGGGAGTAAAGCGTGTGAACTTAAAAATGAGACAGTGAGTGGACTTTGGAACTGCTTCAAGAACCTCAAGTTAGGGGTTTTCCCTTTGAAAATGAAGAAAACCTAGGATCCCAGTGATATCTATATTTACATAGCTAAGGTGTGTAAGCACCTCGATATTAGCACAGCTAATCTTTTAATTAACATAAAGCAAGAAAACTTCTGACTGCATACCACAGACATTACATTCTAGTGACATATTTATGGGTTTTATATTTATAAAGCCCTTTGAGGAGCCCTATAAACCAGCCACTGAAAATTAAATAATGTTCCATCGGATTTGGTTGAGTGTATTGTCTTCTGTGATGCAGGGAGCAGGGACCCTGTTCCTACTCCCAACCCTGTCAGTGAATTGCTGTTCAATCTTGCACACGGCATTCAGCTCTCCCAGCCCCGATTTCTTCACGTTTCAAACGGGGAAGGTGTACGAAATGATGTCTAAGTACCCTTCCAACTTTAACTCCCAGAGTCATTGTGTGCATTTGGAATACATAGTAAACATTGATGACCATGTTTATCAGATATCCTTCCCTAAAATATGGCAGATATGAGGTTCACTCGTACTTCCCCCAACACAATAGCCACCAATAAAGGACAAGCAGTAAGTTCCGAGTCAGACGCCAGCAGTGATGAAGGAAATAACAGATTCCCAGCAGAAGGCCCTACTTAAGAAAACCATGTTGCCTACATCTTGTTTAGGCAAGATTCCCATCTCCCTTCCAAACGCCCACCTGGAGCGGAAGCACAGCTCCAGAGACCCACTGCGCGCTGGCCACCGGAGTGCCCTCTGGCTGGGAGCACGGCCCCTTTGTCTGAGGTGTGGGTGCTGCCCCTTCCACCATCGCCGGCAGGATGGGGTAAATGATGAGATTCTCGCTGGCTACCGGAGTGCCCTCTGGCTGGGAGCACTGCCCCTGTGTCTGAGGTGTTGGTGCTGCCCGCTCCCCACCATCGCCGGCAGGATGGGGTAAATGATGAGATTCGTTCATGGAGTGGAATATTACACAGCTGTCAGATGAGTGAGATTGCATCATATGGATGTCTCAAAGAGAAAATGTGGAATAAAAATGTTTTCAAAGGCTACTTAGAATATGTATGTAAATTTTAATGCATACAAAAACAACATAAAGGTACCTGAGGATAATCATGGTAATGAGGGCCAGCATATACAGCAAGCACACCGGTGCAGGCAGAGGTGCCTGGCTGCAGCCCCTGACAGACAGACAGACGTGCACAGGACCTACTGCTCTGGGTCAGCCTGTGGCCCAGGCACTCAGCAGGCCGTTTCCAAGGTTATGGTGTCCTCTGTCGTTTACATGTGTTGTTTTGAAATAAACATAAAAAAGGAAAAAGCAGTGTAACAGACACAGACTGGCCACAGTTGCTTCCGATGAAGAAAAGAATGTTACAACTAAATGGCATGTTTCCGTCCCATCCTGCCTCTTCCCTCAGGTGTGTTAACATCCCCAGGCCGGTTTCTGTGCCGCCCCTACCTCCATGCTGTGTGTGAGCTTGGACAAGTTAGTCTCCCTGGACCTGTTTCCTCAGCTGTAAAGTGGGGGCAGTAACAGCTCTCATGCACACGGGTAATGGGCGGTAATAGGATGGAAGGTGTGGGAAAGGGCGGGCTGGTCTTGTGTAAGGTGGCAAAGGCGAGATCAGGAAGGGGAGGTGGCAAAGGCGAGCAGGCTCCTGGACGGAGCAGCATGCCAGGCAGGTATCGAAGTTCCGGGAGGAGTCTACGACAGTGATGCTCCGGGAGCAGATTCCCAGAAAGCCATGGGGCAGACCTGCCTCTGATCTGCCCCTGAGCTGGGGCGGGTGCCCAGTCTGAAGACAGACCGCCGGATCTGCTGCCCCGTGAAAGCAAACAACCCTGCCCTCCCAGCCCGCCCTGCAGAGATCTGGCCTGGGGGCAGCACAGCAGTCCTGCCAGGGCCCCCTCTGCCTGCCCACGCCACCCAGCGGGAGGCACGCGAAACCAGCTCCTCTGTGAGCCCGTCACTCCCTGGGCGCCTGCTATTGGTCTTTCTGTCTAACCCCAGGCCATGGCCCGTGCTTAACCCTAAAGCATACACATTCCACCACGTGCAGCCTCAGGGCTCCACTGGTCCCGCCCATCGTCCACGGGAACCTTCTCTGGCAAACACCCAGCAGGCCAAACTTCCCGGTTGTTATGGTTGTTAGGACAGGGCTTGGTGAGTTGGCATTAGCGCCTCTTAAAACACAACCGGGAGCCTGAGGGATATCTGGCAGCTAAACTCTTAGCTCAGCCCAAGAACAAATGATCCTGTTCACCTTTGCTTCCCCACAAGGCAGGGAAATGATGGCAAGTTAGACATAAAGACACCAGGCTTCTCACCTAACCTGGAGCCGGCCCCGCCAAAAGGAAGCCTGGATGTTGGCTCGCAGAGCAAGGCCCTAACACAGTGATGGCAAACCTTTTGAGCTCGGCGTGTCAGCATTTTGAAAAACCCTAACTTAACTCTGGTGCCGTGTCACAAATAGAAATTTTTTGATATTTGCAACCATAGTAAAACAAAGATTTATGTTTTTGATATTTATTTTATATATTTAAATGTCATTTAACAAAGAAAAATCAACCAAAAAAGTGACACGCGTGTCATAGGTTCGCCATCACTGCCCTCACACTTCCTGCGGGAGAGAATGTCCCAGGCCAGCTGCGGGGCCCACAGCCCCTCCTCTCTTCCCCCACTGTGAGCGGCTCCTGGTTCTACATTTCTGCTTTCAGGAACACGGAAACTGTGCACGAGAAGTAAAATAACCTGGCCAGATTTTCAAGCGAGGTCACCACGGAGGGGGGGTGTGTGTCCGAAACGTTGAGTGGAGCGTTAACAGCAAACAGCTCTGCAGGTGACTAATACGCAGGGACAGATGGGGGTACACTTGAGACTGGAACAATTAGTGCTTCAGTTTTTAAATATAAAGCTGGTGGGTTTGTTTGGATAAACTCAGGATAAGGCAGAAATACTGATTTGTTCACTCTTGTTGCCAAACCCAAACCAATATTTACAAACCATTTTGCTGAACGAAGTCCATTTCAGCTGACATCACAGGCATATGCCACCGATGAGAGAGCTGTGCTTCGTGCAGGCCCAATATTTGTTTTACAAAACAGGGTGACTTATTCCGTACACATGTATAGGCAACACTAAAATATATCTGTGTTATTCAGGAAACTGAGGAAATATGAAACTTACTTGGAAGGAAATAAGCCTGACGATCGTCCTTAGGAATTTCCTGCACCAATCGCGTTCCTTCCTCTACAGGTGTGGGGGGTCAGGGAGGGACAGTCCCTATTCGAACCCTGGGGATGTCTGTCTTGTCTCCTAAGGTCAGAGCTGGCATGTACCTGGCCCTCCCTTCATTCCCAGGCCCTGGCACACCGCTAGGGCTTCCGCTGAAGTGAGGTTTGTCCCCTTCACATTTTAGAATCAAGCCCTGTGAAATGGTCTTCAAAGCACCAGCAAAACAATAGCCGTCTCCCTTCACGGACCATCCTCGCAGGTAGAACCATGCAAAGAGGACCTAATTATGGCCTTGACAAATGGAAATGCGTGGTTAAGCCTGGGTTACAGCCCCCCTGCCCCGTATTCTCCTCGCCCACATGGTGACAGAAGAAACGTCTGAGCCCTGCAGTGAATTGGCCGGGGATCTCGGAGGATTAAGATGTTAGCAGCAACTAGGATTGATGTGAGTGGTGTTCTTGTCCCTGCCCTTCCCAGCCCACATGGGCCCTCTGTTTAGAGACCTTTTGGTGATTATTATTTAAAACAACACCAGCTTTGTTCATGCTGCTCTTTTCTGGAATCTGAATACAAGAATGCCATGAGGCCATTTTGTGTAACCTTGTTTTCTTTTAAAGAACTTGACAATAACATAGGATGGTAAGGTTCAATCAAGCCTACATTCTTATATGTTTGCTAGCATTGCCTGAGTCAGTAGCATAGAAAATACACACACACATGCACAGTGTGTAACAGCTACTAATAAACACATCTGTGTGTAAATGCATGCATACACACGCATGTTCTAATAATGCTAATTACCATTGGCCTTTAGAGGTTCTCAACCTGTGGGTCGCGACCCCTGAAAATACATCCTGCATATCAGATATTTACATTACGATTCATAACAGTAGCAAAATTACAGTTATGAAGTAGCAATGAAAATAATTTTATGGTTGGGGGTCACCACAACATGAGGAACTGTATTAAAGGGTCGCGGCATTAGGAAGGTTGAGAACCACGGGAAGCAGCAGGTTCACAAAACAATGCTCTATTTGCACATGAATTCTGAATCTAAAGACACAGTTTGCAGCAAATAAATTAAAAAATACACGTGTCCATTTATATTACATTTGCCATATGGCTTGGGTCTTGCTGGTTTCCTCTGAGTGACCCCCCACACCCTCCCACCTACAGTGCAAATGGTTATCTCAGGGTATAGAGGAGGCAAGGGCTCAGACACGGGGCCCCGCAGGTGCACTGTGATAGCGATCGAGTTCCCCCGACTCTGATTTCCATAGTATTTTCACCACAAACAGAGAATAATTAAGTCAGTACACAAACTGAGCGAGGATGACCAGGAGCTGAGTTGCAGGCAGGGCGTAAGGAATGATGGAGTCTGAATAGGAAACTTGAAGCAGATGGAACAGGGACGTCTGGACTGGGAGAGCATGTTGAGAGGCTAGGGCAGCCGTGGGCAAACTATGGCCCGCGGGCCGGATCCGGCCCGTTTGAAATGAATAAAACTAAAAAAAAAA